CTATTATAAAAGGGTGCTGACGACAAAAGGGATATTTTTTGTTACTTTTACAATACATGAAACCTGAAAAAAATCTAGCTTGCGTAATAGCCCCATTCACATATTACAATTTCCCATTCACAGCAATCGGCTTCAATATTCATGTGATTGCGATGCAGTTATCGCGATAGCCTGCCTACCGAGCGAGACTTCATTAAGTATTTTGAAGCACGATAATTACAGAGCTAATCAAACGTGCTTTGATTGCCACGCTCATCAGAGGGTCTGACACTTTACTGCGTCAATAATTAAGTACGATTTTATGAGAATTTGAATTGTGTTTCAATTGAAGATCTCAACGTTCATGGTTATTTCAACACTTCTTACAACACTTCTCTTTAACTTCACTTCTTGTCTGTCTGTCTGTCTGTCTGTCTGCTACAAATCTTGTAATCGAAATTTAACACACTTCTACTTATCCTATCGATCTGAAATTTTGCATACTTGTTTAAAGTTGGAGACAATGCATGAATCAAATGTCAAAATAAATGATTTTAAAAAGTTAAAATTTTTTTTTCAATATTAAAAAAATTGAAAAAAATAATTTTGTCAGCTACAAATCTTATAACTGATTTTTGACACACTTTTACCTGTCTAGGTTATCTGAAATTTTGCACACTTGTGTGAAGTCAGAGGCAATGCATGAATCAATTAATAGAATAAATCATTTTGAAAAAATTTATATATTAAAAAAAATTTTATATTAAAAATTGAAAAATTAATTTTTTTAATATTCGAAAATTAAATGAGGAATTCAAGGTACATCTTTAAGATTGGAGACACTGGATTCTTTAGAAGTGTTGTCTTTAAAAAGTAATTTTTAAACGTATATTATTTTCAACTTCACTTCTTGTTGTTTGTTTGTCTGTCTGTCTGTCTGCTACAAATCTTATAATCGATATTTAACACATTTCTACATGTCCAATCGAACTGAAATTTGGCACACTTGCATAATTTTGGAGACAATGCATGAATAAATTGACAGAATAAATGATTTTATAAATTAATTTTTTTTTCAATATTAAAAAAACTGAACAAATAATTTTATCAGCTACAAATCTTATAATTGATATTTGACACACTTTTACCTGTCCAATTGATCTGAAATTTTGCATACTTGTGTGAAGTTGGAGGCAATTCATGAATCAATTGACAGAATAAATAATTTGAAAAAAATTATAGATTAAAAAATTAAAAAATTAATTTTGGTAATATTAGAAGATAAAATTAAATAATGTACATTTAAAAATTACTTTTTAAAGACAACACTTCCAAAGAATCCAGTATCTCCAATCTTACAGATGTACAATGAATTTCTCATCTAATTTTCAAAAATTTAAAAATTTAACTTTTCAATTATTTTAATGTATATAAATTTTTTTTAATATATAGTTTTTTTTCAAAATTATTTATTCTGTTAATTGATTCATGCATTGCCTCTGACTTCACACAAGTGTGCAAAATTTCAGATCAATTAGACAGGTAAAAGTGTGTCAAATATCAGTTATAAGATTTGTAGCTGACAAAATTATTTTTTCAATTTTTTTAATATTGAAAAGAAAAAAAAAATTAAATTTTACAAATCATTTGTTTTGACATTTGATTCATGCATTGTCTCCAACTTTAAATATGTGTGCAAAATTTCAGATCGATAGGATAAGTAGAAGTGTGTTAAATTTCGATTACAAGATTTGTAGCAGACAGACAGACAGACAGACAGACAGACAGACAAACAAGAAGTGAAGTTAAAGAGAAGTGTTGTAAAATTGATGGTACGTCAGTAATATTGGAAACACTGGATTCTTTAGAAGTGTTGTCTTTAAAAAGTAATTTTTAAACGTATATTTTTTATTTTTAACCATATTTTTATGGTACACGAGTTGTTTAGAAAGATGGAAAGTAAATTATCGTTTCTAAATGCGTGGATATTAGTTTCAATGTGACTTTATTGAATGACATCAAAATTTAATTCATACATTTTTCCAGAAATTTTCAACAAGTGGCATTTTTATTCGTCGAGGAAATAAATGCATCAGGCCACCAAATGTGGTAACAATTTCTATTTCATAAAGTTTATTTGGCCATCGTTTTAATTGCTATTCGTGTGTTTCAAACAGCCCGACACTCTGCCCATTATGTTCCTAACTCAGAGAATCCGATATTTCTACAATAACGATTCTTCCCGTATAAGATTAACGTAAGTTAAACTGTGAATTAGGCCGCAAAGAAGTTGCCACGTTGTGGTATTCTTGAGCACAATTCAAACTCGAACTAAATGGAATTAAAAAATACAAATTATTGGCTGACTCTCATGTTTGAAGTGCTCGAATTACTCCGAGTTTAGAAAAGACAATTGGTTCGAATTTTAGTCTTCTTAAAACACTATCTGCCTTAACACTTCATTTTCCAACTATTCAGCACGGTACAACGTTCTCTGATCATAATCGATAGAAATTTATGGAAGTCGTACAAAATTAATTTATAATGTTAAAAAATGTAACTCAGTACTCACTGCAGTGAGTGACAGAGAGCGCATTTTCTCGTCGACGAAAACTTGAAGTCACGGACAAACAGACGGACGGACAGACAGACGGACATGACGAGCACAATATGGCGTATTTTCCATAAATGAGAAAATGCGCTAAAACATCAAAGAGAATTGCGTAAGTGCTTAGGACGTTTTTCGTCGTCAGGAAGCTACAGAGATTTGCCTCCCAAACTAGAGTCAGGTTCACTTATGACTCCGCAGACTCATGACTCACATTAGAGCGTTTGTTTAGATTTACTTAATGCTCTCAAGAATCATGCTCCAGAACGACGCGGAGGGTAAAATTCACCTAAAACTTTCGCGACTCTTGACCCAGAGGGTCACAGCGGCTCAGATTCTTTTAAGAATCTCGAGACTCTTTACCCACAACATTGCGTTAGCTCAGTTAAGACTCATGAGACCCACGACTCAAGACACTGCAGCGGCTCAGATTCACTTAAGACTCATGAGACCCTAGCTCAAGACACTCAGATGCGGATAAGAAGTGCGCGATCTCTCCAGAGATATTGAGAGGAGAAGGTTGTGCTTGTACTTATTCGAGGAAATAAAAATTTGTTTCTGGATTGAAGGTTAAAATAAAAAATTAGAATTTTTTTCGATATTTTCAAGGTACTTCATAATGTGGAACTAAATTAATTTGTTCTGTACGGTGTACCACTCCAGCATTAATTTTTACTGTATTTTAGATCAAATACTACATTTTTCTATTATTTGAAGTCTGCAGGACCCTCGTACTTGCATTGTCTTTCAGATAAAATTTTATTATGTTAAAATTGGTTTGAAGTGAGAACTATTTGTACTTGTATTGCAAATAAACGGTTAATGTTGTTAGTATTCTATTGTATTGAAAATCGGCATCTCTCGGTTTGTATTACATGAGTCATTACATATAGTATGATAAAACATATAAATATGTATAATATAAAAACAAATCAGTGTTATTGGTGCAATATTTTTAATGTTATTGCTCACAATCTAATTGCATTGCGTATAGAGCAATGAATTTTCAATAAGGATTTTTTAAAGACCAAGCGCTATATTTTTACCGAAAAGCGATTCAACTTTGAGTATTAAATCCTCTGCGCTGATAAGCTCAAAAGATATAAATTATCCATCTTTTGATAATATATTGCAGAAGATCAAGCTAATAAAATATGTGTCAACAACATGTATCCTGTCGGGGCCTATTCGATAAATAAATAATATGAAAATAAATTAAGCAGTCAATGCCCCACACATCAACGAATGATCATATGGTAAATAATTATTGGTATCAACAATGGAGGAATTAATGAAACTGAATAAATGAACAAAAATAATGATTGAAACAAACTATCATTAAGTACAAAACCAGAATATCAACCGTGCGTTGTCTTTAAGCCCATTGTCGATTACTAATGATGATAATTTCAAGTCCTTCTTTCGGAGCCATTCTGCAAAAAAAAAAACGATAACACAAATTTAGAAGTAATGAAATAAATTAACTAATAAACGCAAAAGTGTAGCATGGATGACAGAAGATAAATAAAAAAATAATATAACGTAAAATATAGAATATTAAAATTAAGAAAATACTTAAACATCACAGCCACAAAAAAATAAAAATAAAAAATAAAAAATAACCAAGAATATATGAACCACGTATCTCTGTGGTGCATTCACATATCAGAATGAAATATTACGGATACCCACACGAGGTCACGTCAGAGGTGACTAAAAACCTAAGTGATATGTAAATACAAAGCTTCTTTTTACAAGAATATTGTATCCATTTTACAATGTTACATACATCATGCATAAATCTACAGTGAGTAACCGGGCAAATTAAAACAAAAAATCCATTGCGAAATGATACTCACCTTTAGCACTTGCACACATGCACTTTATTTTTGGGGGGATATCGCTTCGGCGTCGAGTTTTAAAAAAATTTTATTCGATTAATCATTGCTGAGCAGATAATTCACTCACCTTTTGGAGATGCTTGCCAGTATTGAAAATATATCATATTTCCATTGTATTGCTAATGGGATTAATCACTCATATTTTTCAGACAACATCACAGTGTTGAACAATTACAATAATTTTTCCTTCTACCAATTACTAAGTGGATTAATTATTCAAATTTATGAGACGTCATCAACGTGTTAAACAATTAACATAACTTTTTTAATCTACAAATTACTAAGTGGATTAATTACTCACATTTATGAGACGTCATCACTGTGTTGAACAATTACCATAATATCTTTATTCCACCAATTACTAAATGGATTAATTACCCACATTTATTAGATTCTTTATTCTACCAATCTCTAAATGGCTAATTACTGACATTTTTGAGACGTCATCAACGTGTTGAACAATTAACATGCTATCTTTATTCTACCAATTACTAAATGGATTAATTACTGACATTTTTGAGACGTCGTCGCAGGAGAGCGTGATGGCGGGCGGTGCAGTGGGGCTGAGGGCGCTGGTGCGCGGCTCTGCTGCGGGCGCTGTGTCCTGAATCCTGCTAGAGAAATTAATTTATTTATTAATCCCTGCAGGGATCAAATAAAATTCATTTTGACTTAAAAGTCGTTTTGATCAACTTAAAAAACGATTGTTTTGTTGTTGGATCAAATAAAATTCATTTTGACTCAGACATTAAACAATAGTGCATTTTTTCCATAAATTGAGAAAATGCGCTAAAAACGACTGTTTTTTTCTACCGAATCTGAGGAACTGTTGACAAGTGAATTTAAATTTTACCGCGCGAATGCAAGAGAGTTGTAATTTGAGCGTTATATTCACCTGTGAAAATATAGCTGCACATTTTATTGATATTTTCCTCTGATCAGATTTCGCAATATTACGCAATAATTTGTAGCCTGTCTTCAGTTAAAAGTTGGCCGTCGAAATCGCACCTACTGTTTCTTTCATGTTTATTTATGCACCTATATGCACCTCTTTAATGTTCATTTTTTCCGCAGCATTTTTATATGTATGGTCTCTGGCTCAGATGTTATATGTTATAGTGGGTGACAAGGTAAAAGGAAACATTAACTGTTTATTATCTCCTTGCTTATTGCGCATCGATGAAGCGAGCACTGCGTGTAAAGTGTGTAAAGTGCATTGTTGTGTGTTAAGTGCTCAATTGTTCGCCATGGCAGTCATTCGCTTCTTTCTAGGAGCATCAGAGTCATCATCTGGCCATGGCGATTGGCTGAGATTCAATTCAAGCCTGCTTTTGTGATGCGAAATTGACTCGGATGAGTTTTGACTTTTGCTCTCGGTCGGAAACAGAAAATTTGTGCATTCTCGGTGAAAGACGGTTTCCTCTCGTAATGCAAAAAGAAAGATTTTTTATTAAGTGCGTGTTATGAATTGAGAATTGTATGCTCTTGCTTTGGTGCTATTGTGTTTGGAAAAAGGCTAGAGACTATAGTGCATTCATAAAAGTTTGTGTGGAACGTTTGAAGTGAGTTACGAGTAGACAATATATTTCCAACTGTTGAAAGGAAGAATTTAATTTGATGGTATGAGAATTTTTTTGAGTTGTTTTTGTGAGAAATATATGTAAGTGTGCGACAGCTTAAAAATATTCGAAGGTCTTCTTTTGACATTGATTTTAAAAATTATGCTGGTTCAAATTTTAACGAAAAAAAAAATAAATTATTTTTTATGACTACTAGTTTTCACTAATTATAAATAGGCGTTATATTTTAATACATACGGAGCAACGGTGAGCGAATCCAGAGCACACGTGTTGGACTTTGATCTTCTTGTCTTGATTGAGTCTCCTCTATTGACGATGCCCCTGCCGATGATCGAGAAATGTCTGAGTCTGTAGTGTTCCTCGTCTTCTGTGTTCTCGGTTTGTGCTGCAGGCAAGGAAGTGACGCGAGGTCTGTGGCAGGCAGGGGGTGGCAGGGCGAGTAACATGGATCGGGAGGTCGGCGCGTGGTGTGGGGAACCCCATTTCATGGCGAAATCTCGTAGTTCCTCATCGCTCAAATCGTAAGGGTCGACTAAGATCAAATTGGTCGGTGTTCCAGGATGTAATCTACTGTCGAGATCCTCGGTCGGAGTCGCAGGCATTCTGAAAGGCGAATCTGTGCCGTCTGATGAAGAAGCTCCTGAGTAAATCAAATCTGGTGGCCCTGGAAGTTGCAGGGCAGAACCGGGTAGTATTTTGTCACGGGATTGATCCTCATTAGTTTTCTCCTCGGAACTGCCACCGATATCTAGAAGTTTAACGACGCGAGATTTCGCCGGAGGCGGTGGCAGGGGTGGAATTATTTCGATTTCGGTTGTGGAAGAACGTTTCCGTCCTTCGAATCCTCCGATTCCACACTGTCGGCTTGGACTTGACGGACGATTGCAAGTCGTCACCTCTTGATGCGATTGCTCTCGAGTATTTCCAGGTCCTTGAGAAGCTCCGTTTCGAACACAATTATCTCGGGCGAAATGAGAGAATGAATCTTCAAAAAGATGTCTTGGAGGGCTGGAAGTTGGCGTAATTGTAACCGTTGGAGTTGGTGGAGTTGACGCGAAGCCATTCAATAAAGTTGTCGTTTGAATTGGAGACTTGCTAGAAGCATTTTTTGAGTCTTGTGCTTTCCTTGGAGGAGCAGACTTTGAGACGTGGATGGGCGTGTGAGCGACTTGAATTGTGGAAGTGTGACCATTAGAAACTCTGTTGCGAGCTGGACTTTGAGATTTTGATTTCCGAGGAGGCGGATCTAGCTTTATGGTAGTCTGCGCATGCTGATTTATTTTAATCTTTGAATTTTCTTGCGGCTTAGATATAAAATACTTATTTCTTGAAGTTGGAGATAAAGTGATTTTTGGGGCCGAATCATTAATAAAATTACTCGTTCTAAGTGATTTACCTAAAACCTTTATAACTGGAGACTGGTGACTGAAATGATATTTTGGGGAGCTTCTTTCTTCTACCTCGTTGCCACCGACACCTCTGGGCGTCATCTGCTCACTTCTCTGAGGTAAATTTTCTGCCCATAATCTTTGTGCGCTGAGAGACAACAGACTCGCTGTTGGAGTTGACGCTTTTTCCACAATTGGTTGAGCATTTGGAGAATTTGTAAATAACGGTAAATTTGTACCAACTGAGCACGGGGAGGAAGATCGTCTGCCCAAAGTGTTTCTGGTTGAAAACCGCCTCGTAGAGGGCGGCGGTGGAAGCGGTTGAGGTAGCTCAATTATGTAGGAAACTTTGGCCGGTGTCGCTGGACTTACATTCGCAGTGAGCGAATTTATGGAAGAGGAAGTGTTGGAGGTGGTGGGAGTAGTTACACTTGAACTTGGGGAACTTTGGGAAGTCTTGCCTCTAATTTCGAAGCGTTCCTTCACAACCTCGCCAAAGCGTTGGTCCAGTGCCATCATTACTGAAAAAATATAGAACAGGATAAGCAGGACTTTCCTTATTATAAAGATAAAACGTAAAAAGTTTAAATATTTAATTAAAGTTGTAATAAAAACTATAATACAAATGTAATAAATATGTATATAAATATTATAAAATTGTTTTGAACGTTGCGTTAGTGCACTTGATTCCTTAATCCTCGAATTTGAGTATATTAGTAACTTAAAAATTAAGAGTGGTTGAATGATTTAACAGTTGAACGAAATATTTTAAATAATCGGCAAAATTTACTTGAATTTAGATGCTCATCATTTCATTTTTAGTTTTCATAAGAACATATTGTATTCCAACAAAATGATTTTTGAGAACGAAAGTGACTTTTAACAATAAGAATTTGATTTGCATTCATTCGCTTTTATTCAATATTAATTCCGAAATTGAAAATCCTTTGTCGAGCGTCTAAGAATTTTTTTCTGAATAATTGGTTCCGGTTACGTATGTCTTCATCAGATAATTTTGACTGTTAATCCTAAAATACTCAGTTAAAATTCTCATCACCAAATGATGAAAATCACCAATTTTAGATTCATGTCTTACTGTTTCCGCGAAAACGCTCAAACTGATTGTACCTCGAGTGACTGAATCTGCTTATAACCAATGCAAAATGGCGCTTCAACTGCAAGAATTTCTTTTCACACTGTAAAAGCAGAAGTATCATCATATTCCCAAGAGGTCCTCCCGGGTTTTTGCGTAATAATCGTACGGAATTAGAAATTGACTTTCTGCTCGATATTCAATGGAAAAAAATTACCGCTTGGCGATCATGTAAACTTTTAGCTGACCTATTCTAGAAGGTCGAGTTATCTAATCAACCCAAAAACTATAAGATTTCCCTTGATCTGCTACTTAAATTTAAATAGGTGTAAATCTCCAACGTTCAATTATCGTACCAAATCTCCAAAAATAATTTTATATAATTTCCCAGAAAAAGTTATTTGTTGATAAATTATTGTTAATATTTCGATGAAATAATTTTTATGTGGTCTCATGCTCGACATAGTGGTTTCTAAGTCGGAATATGAGGCCTTTAGAACACTGCCACCAATTTAAAATGATTATGCGGGAAGCGTCTCCACGTTGTTGAGTTGTTAGCGACCTTTGCGTCAGTCGTCTGACATATTTCCTTGCCGCGGTCACTGCTGATGATATCAGGTTAATGCATGATTGTAATTATTAGGGCACTGTTAGGACCACATTTCGGCTGCCAGACAGTTGGCAGCCGGAGATGTGTTCAACATTTTGTAACACCGTCAGAAATATCTGTTTCGCTAACTATTCTGTTGTACATTATAAGATAATTGAGAGCTAGTTCAGTATTGAGTTTACTGGTTTTATTGTTACCTATAGGCAAATTCCGTCGTATTCATTCGCGTTGCAAGTAACACTTCGGTTGGCCCTCGCTCAAGATAATCTCGACGAATGATTACGAGCTGAAGTGAGTCACGATAAAGTGAGTTAGGGATGACAGTCCCTAGATGGAATTGCTTGTCAAGAGAGAAGAGCTTGAAGCACCGAGTCAATTATCTGGAATTTGTGTTAGGTTGAGTTAATTCAATGAATGTTATCATGGCTGAAATTTCTCGGAGTGATCGCAACAGACCAACTTTATGTGTGTTTTTTTCTTGGCATAAGGATAAGTGAAACTTCTCGCGATTCTAATATTTTTCAAGCACCACAATAAAGTAACTGTACCAAAGTAAGTAAGCTATAAAATAAATTTAATCTCCGAAAGTTAAACAGCTCAAGTGTGGAGTTGATGGAATAGCAAATATTATGCCTTTAATATAGAAGCAAATATTCACTGAGTTTCCCTGACAAGGAATAGAATTGTTATATCTCTTGTGAAATAACTTCAAAGAAAGAGCTCATGCATCATGAGTTCTACTCTGACATGAACTTTTCAGGCTACTTGAAAATTGTGTGATTATTGATCAAAGGTGAGCGCTTATGTCGTTTCATGTACTATGATAACATTACATAAGTAGAGTAAGAGGTCAACATAAGAATTTAAACTAGACATCGTTGGGTAAACAAATCTCCCTTGTTTAAAACGTATCGATAAATCTCTTTCCAAGAGCACTGGCGTAAATTAAGCAAGAAAGTGACGCGTAAGAACGAATCTTTAAGCTTCTTTCAATGCATAAAATTTTTGACGCCTAATTTATTCAATGCCTCCAGAAGTAATGGCTTGATCGTGAGGTTGAATTAATTTTTCACGGGTGATAATCGGTTGCGATTTGTGAGCAAGAAGGGAGCTTTGAGCTTCTCTCATTCTCAGAATGGGTGACGCTCTTCTGGTATTGATGGATCTGAGCCATGGAATCCACATTGATTTCCGAAGAGAGAATGGAGATCTGTGAACCTCACACTTGGATGGGACTCTCATGTCTCCATTCCGGAATCGAGGATCGAGATATTGCGACCAGATCATCGGAAATCCGATATTTATTTCCGGGATCAATGGATATTGAGAGACGTGCTTGCCGCGCTTCCTGGTATAATGGAATAATTGAGAATGAACGTGTGCATTAAAATTCAGAGAATTTCCTTATCCGCGGCTGATTCAAAGTTATACATTTTTAAGAGAGAAGAAAAATATATTAAATGAATGATATCGAGAGTAAGGTACTAATTTTAATTGCAAAAATTCATGGCCTTGAGAATTTTTGTTGTTCCTTTTTAAGAAAACATTGAGATTGAAAACTGGTTTGAAGAGTTACTCACCAGCAAAAGATTACGAATAAATCTAAGTGACCTCATGGAAGAATTCGAGTCTATAATACAAGTATACAATATTTAATGCGACATTATCTACACAATTTTTCTTGTCTACTCATGTTGGTATTAAATAATTTGAAACACCCAGAATTAATATAAAAAAAGTCTCAAAAACTCATAGGCCACTATGATGAATCATAGAACTGGTCGATCAAAGCTATAGAACAGCTCCGTAAATATGTTACAAGCCCATTTTTTAGCCTAGTATCCCTGGGAAAGGTTTCCTATCCTACACAATCTGTTAAATAAAAACAACATTTATTCTTTCATAAAATTTCTATCCGCCGCCATTCGTTCAGAGCTCACTGAATAAAAGGACAAAAATTGACGTAAATTTCAGCCTTTCCTTTGATGCAGTTTCAAGCTGGAGACTTTTGCGCTTCAAAAACGCCATCATCTAATCATAAATATTGATGATGTTACCTGTTTGATGTAGGCTTAGAGTGCTACTTATGGAGCGCCGCCTCTTGTAGAGAAACAGAGCAACGACTTTATAAATGAAATGGAACTCTCAGATCAAAGCTTGAAGTTTAATAAAATGCAAGTTATATAGGGGGTTATAGTTATTGTATATTATTGTAATTGATTTATATCCTCTAATGAAATAATAGCTTTTTATTATTGAGGATAATTACTAATAATATGCAACTGTATGGCTTATATTATATTCATTATTTGCTGAGAATATTGCTCTCGGTTAGGAAAAATGATCAATCTCGCTTGAATTTTTTTTGTGTTAAATAAGCGTGTGGATGCAAAAAAACTATCTAAAGTGACTCTGATGTTTGTTCGCATTGTTTTGCAAATAAGGCAATAGATTTAGCAGACATTAGGTTACTTCAGATAGTGACGACATCACAAAGATTCAATTGCTACATGCAGTTAAAAAATGTTACATGCAGGAAAAAATATAACTCAGTACTGCAGTGAGTGACAGAGAGCGCATTTTATCATTGTCAAGTATCATGGATAGACGGACGGACATGACGAGCACAATAGCGCCTTTTTCATAAATGAGAAAAGGCGCTAAAAAGTGGGATACCTTCTTGGTCACGTTTAAAGTAAATATCAAAATAAATGTGATGTTCAACATCTGCAATTAAGAAACAATAAAGGTTCTATGAAAGTGAGGCAAAAAATGCTTGAGAAGCAGTGTTGCCGACTATTTCTTGCTTTTCTATGGCAGGATTAATTGAATACGCGTGCATCCATGGGTTCATTTTTATTTTTTTTTGTCATTTCGTACATTCCTGGAAGACACGGTTTCTGGAAAGAAACCGGTACAAATACAAAATTTATTCAAAGAAAGGGGTTACTGAATATATAGACAATATTCGAAAATATTCAAGTAAATTACAAATGCTTTCTAACAAAAAAATATTCTAACACGAGAACTAGGCTCACAAAAATTCGTTCCTGATCTTAGTTCGGTCTGTACTCCGCAGCTGACAGATGACGAATGAACGAAAAGGTTTCGCAAGACCACGGAATTAAGCTAGTATCCTAAGACAAAATGTTGCATTCACAACAAGCAGTATATGTTATATTACTTGAGTAAAGTAAAACTTTCAGTGGTACAGAATGGAATGCTGTGAAGAAATGATGGGGATCATATCCTACGTTGTTAAACTTAGTTAAGGTATATGTTCAAATATGACAAAGTTACAACTCAAGGTCAAATAATTTTCATTGTCTACAAGATAGTTTAAATTAATAGCAAGTCATGTTTTTGACATCCTTTCTCTGTGAAGAAAGCAATGCATTTTTTCACAATATCCAAGAAAATCTCTGCTCTACTCTGTGACAATTTTGGCTTGGACACTAAAAAATCCGACAGACGTCTGGGAAAACAGAAGCTTTTCAAGTAAAATAAAAAACAAAAACTGTTGAATGGCCCCCTAAAGTTAATGGTATAATTTCATTTTTACTACGCTGAGGACAACGCGTTTCTTTTATGAAATGTGAGCACGAATCACAAAATCTGAAACCAAGCCTTGCCAAAAATGTGACTTTATAAATGGAGGATAAGACAAGACCGGTATGACGTTAAAATGACAGCTCTCCAAGAGCCTCCGGTTAATGAGACAGCTGCTAAGCCATTTCATATTTAACGTCCAAGACATGAAGTTGAGATTCTTAACATATAATATCAGGAAGATACGCGCACTGCTCCACGACTTACAT